TGTAACCATAGGTCATAGAGTCTCGAGCCAGTCCTCTGACCTCTGCATGGTGGGTATCAGCAAACTATCCTCATGTAGGGAGTTGAGGAATTGTAGCAGGCATTCTGTAAGGAGGTCTTGATGTTTATAACCTGGTGTCCTGGTAGGGTCCATTATAGGTGTCCTCTGGTTGTGCTATCAGGAGTTGGTATCCTTGAAGAAGCTGGTTAAAGGTTTGGTTAGAGATTTTGTTGACCTGGGTTTGTAGAAACTTTAACAGACAAGGTAGGAGATTGCAAAAGGCAATCAGGATGAATATAGGTCTGATGAGGGGTAAGAGCCAAGCAAGGAGATCTGCTGGCAGGGGGTGTTGTATGGGGCAGGATCCTCAGGCTCCTGTGAAACATAGTCATTAGGATGGGCATTGGCCAGGAGAATCACTGTGAAATGTTGTTCCCTAGACAATTTCAAGAGTCCTCCAGTTCCCTTCTCCATTTTTCTAATTGTTTCTTGAGAGGTGCCGCCATTGGGGAAACCCATTGAGCTTGACAGTAGTGAGTGTCATGAGAATGACCAGATGAGGGCTTGTCCATCAAAGTAGAAGATCCTTTCTGGAAAACAAGATGCCCTGGTTTAACAGAAATTGTTATAGGGTAGGGCAGGATCTGGTTTGCATGCTCTCTGAGAAGTTCCCTGAGAAGGCAAGTAGTCAGCCAGAGGAGCAGAGTCTGTTGGAGGCAAGTTTTCTAAGAGAAATGGGTGGCCATACATTATCTAAGACCCAAATAGGAATATTAGGAGGAGCACAAAAAGGTGTCTGTTCAAGGACTACATACTTAGGGATCTAAATTCTGCAAAATCCTATAACTGCCAGGAAAGCTGTAAACTGTCTTATGGTATGGGGGTTGGGAAATGGAAGATTGGTTTGATGTGTTTATATGACTCAGGGAGTGAGTCTGTTCCTTTAAGGCCACACCTAGGTAGGTGACCTGTGGGAGGCAGGGGCTGTCAGGATTTAAATGTAATACTCTTGGATAAAAGAGAGCTTTTAGCTCATTATTTTATGTAAATTGACACTTTTAACCTCTTAAATGTTTGTACCATATTTAGATAAAGTATAACATAACACTGTTACAAGGTGGTCATTTAAGACACATAAGCAAATATGTAAATGAACTCTGATTTAGTAGTACTTAAAGCTTGACAAGATCAGCAGAAATCAGAAATAATTTCTTTGATAAAATCTTTCTCTGTAATGTTTTTTGTAGATGTTACTCAGAGCAGAACAATATTAAGATAACCTTGTTATTTCATAGACATAGAGGATTTGATTTTAGTTTGACATGACCCTAAAAATCTTTTAGGCAACTCTTAGATTATATTCAACTTTAACTTTATCACACACCAAAGCTTTTATTATACACTTTTCAAACTTACTCAGACCTTCATACAACATACTAAACCCTTTGATGGCTTGTCCTTATCTCTCCTATTTGAAACAATCTTTAGGACAAACCCTTCTTTACAAAATCCTTTCTCATCCAAAAAACCATTCTTTTTTCCTTTAACTTCTCAAAAAATACATTTATTACTTATCTATATCCTTTCCAGTTGTTTACTTTGTAACTTGTATTTTAAAATTAACTTTTATAAGAATTTAAATTTATTGTAGGGGCTGGAGCAACTAACTAGTAGCCCTTGTTGTTTTAAGGAATAGGCATAAGGCCTCCTCGTCCCTCAGGCTTGAGGGGATATTGTTTTAGGTGTGGAAACTGTGAGGGATTTTTGAGTTTTATTTGAATAGGGAGGGCTCTCGTGGCTCACACTACACTCATCTCATCAGTCCACACTGAGGAGTCTCTTTGTTCCTGAAGGAGGGGGCAACAGAGATAGCTGCCTGGGGGGAGAAGAATTTGAGCTTTAAATTGAGATAGTAAATCCTGTCCCAGCAGGGACACTGGAATTTTAGGTACTATGAGGAAAGAGTGACAGAAGAAGTCTCCTCAAGAGCAGGCCAGAGGCCAGGTAAACTAGCACTCTAGGGGCTAACCAGATTTGTCCTGAACAATAATTTGTCATTGGACCGGGGACCAGGAGAAAAAGGTAAAATGGAGAAATGGGTCCACTGTCTAGGAGGAAAATGACCTTTTGTTTTTCTGCCATTATGGCTCCTCAACATTGATGCCAAGAAGTGGAATGTAGACAGGAGGCTGGGACCCATCAATCCATAGGAGGAGGCACCTTGCCTTCCATCTGGTGATGGGGGCACTTAAACCTCCAGTGGTTACCCTTGCAGAGGGCAGGGTCCCGGTTGGGGTCAGGGCTATCTGCTGGGCTGTCCCCCTTTAAGCATTCTCTGCAGAAGTGCCCCTCCTGTCCACCACAGTAGCAAGTTCAGGATACAGGCCCCAGTCGGGTGGGGCCCTCTCTGAGAGCAGCAATGAGGCCATGGTGTCTCTTATCTTTTTCTCTCCTGTTAGTAAGGTTCCAGACATACAGACATAGCTATAAATACAGACATGTCTAGCTGTATTACTTGGTTCAATGACTTTTCCCTTCAGCCACAGTCTGAGTTTTTTATAAATATCTGGGGCTGACTGTTAGAAATTTATCTTTGAGGAGAACCTCTCTCACCAGTGACTCTGAGTCCACCATGATATGCTTTCTGATAGCGTCCTTAAGATGCTGTAGAAAGGTAAGAGGACTTTTTTTTTTAGGTTGTTGCTGTAAGGTAAAGTTGTTATTTTACATTGACACCTGACATTCTGGAGAGCAAGTCTCTGAACTGTTCTGGGCCTCAGTTTCCTCACTTGAAGAATGAGGGATCTGGTCTAGGTTAAACTATGTTTTTCCACTATGAGATGGCTGAAGTGACATTAATGCCACTATTCTTTACCATTATTTATTTATTTATTTTTAGTAATGCTGGGGAATTGAACCCAGGGCTTTGCACATGCTGGGCAGACATTCTCCCATTGAGCTACTTCCTCAGCCCCAAATATTATTATTATTATTTTTACTTTGGCTGTACTGGGCTTGAACTCAGGACTTTATGCTTATAAAGTGGCACTCTACTGCTTGAGCCATATAATCATTTCCAACCTGAGTGGCCTGGGCCTGAACCCATTGCTTTTCTAATGAGAGAAATTTGTATAGGGGACCTCAGTTTACGTTTTTTTTTACTTTTATAGAAAAGGTCTAATTGGAGTATGGTATTGTAATTTAAGGAACCCGTGAAGGCCACTTCTCTTGGTCATCCAAGGCATACTGAGGCCAACCTCAGTACAATGCTTCCAACATCTACCAGCCAGAAGACTGGAAGATGCAGGTCCCATCTAGAAAGAACAAAACATTAGGATCCTGTCTTTTAGCTAACAGCAGGCAGCCTCTTTAATAAAGGCTACCTTTTTAACAAAGAAATCATTTGTAAAGTTAGAGAAGGGCATTCAGAGGGCATTTCAGGCCAATAACAGTACCATATGAGATAACTAGTGCTAATATTTGGAGGGAAAAATTTATGTTGAGACCAAAGGTATAGAAAATTCTAAATGAGAATTTTAGAGACCACAGTAATGTCTATTTTGTTATTTCTGGAACTATAACCTTGAGCTAACAATTGGCTTACAAGGGCTGGGTCTGATGCCCTGAAGTATGAGGTGGGGCTAGGAGCAGGACTTGTGCAAGGCGCCACTCCCTCCACACACACCTGGGACAAATGACCCTGATTGCCTAGGCCTGATCCTGCAGCCTGTCACCCTTCCCCCCTTCATGTGTACTCTGCGCACATTTATTCTAGGGGAAGTGGCGGCAGGCTACAGTGGCCCAGGATGTACTGGGTCCTCCCTATGGATTTTCTTAGCTATGGCAGGCACTTTTGCTGTGTTCAGAAGCCGGCATCCTGTGCACAGGTGTGCCTGTTTGCTTTCCCTCCTCCCCTTGTGGGGGCGGAGTTACAGCGTGAGCATTGCATCTGCAGTTTGTTGTAAGCACTTATGTAAAGCAATTGGCTTAAAGTTACTTTAGACTGAGAGGCCTGGCAAACTAGTTGGAATAACGTAAGTCATAAGGTACCATGTTACAAGTTTTTCTTGGGAGGCAGGGTCCCAGTAAGCCCAGGGAGGGGAAGGCAGTCAGAGACAAAGGACACGTGGTGAGACCATGGAGGAGGCAGAAAAGGTGTGCTGACATCTAAGGTAAGGGAGGGGAAGGCAGAGCCTGGAGGCATGACACATGCCTGAGGGATTAGCCATCACCTGTGTCTCTAGGTTGCTCCCACTCATTGGTACTGGCACACTTTCAGCAAAATGAAACCTCTACTCTCCAGTCACTGTCTCAGGAAAAAGGGACATTAGATGGGGGTGGGAGGAGAAGCAGTCGTCAGATGCCATAATCAAGCAGGACTCCACCAATGTAGCATGAAACATACCCGAATGAATCTGGGGCTTGGTCTCAGCCCACAGGAAGGGAGCATGAGCTCTCCTAGAGCTGGAACCACTTTGAGGCCAGAATTGGCAAGGAGTGGCTTGCTTAACTCCATGATGGGGCAAGTTTTTCAGGAAGATAGGAGGAGATAGGTATGGTAAGCAGTGCAAGAAGTCTGTTTACATGGGGAAGAAGGAGGTTTGGGAGAGGAATTGGCTGATTTAGAAACTGGTTTACAGGCTGATAGAATCTTCTCAGGGAAACAGAAAGTACAGAGGGAGGGTTTGAAGTACATGTTTCAGTTTGCAAGTGGTGCAGAGAGTCGGATTTAGACAGAGGGATGAAGAGGCTTGAACATAATGGAATCTCTCCCCATTGTCCCAATCACTCACAGTAGTTATAAGTTCCATAAAAGGTTGGGATCTAAAGACCCAAAAAGGGGCCAGTGACTTTGGTTGTCTAAAGGATAAGTGGGCCAGATTTGAGTGCAAAAGCGGATCAAATTTTTTGGTTTTATATCTGGGGTCAAACCCAAGGTGTCCATGTTATTGAGGAGGCATCTCAGTGGGGAGTCAGACAGCAAAGAGGAGGTGGCCCCCATGGTGGGAGCCAGTTGGAAGGATATATGGAATCGCGGGGTGTCCCCACGTGGCTTGAATATCCTGAGAATGGTACAAGGTGCACAAGAAGCAGCCGTCACTGTGTTCAAGTGGCTTGTAGGGCCCCTGGGGCCTGGAGGCTGTGGGTCACCCGGTGCCGGGCTTTACGGCAGGCGGTCTCTGAGACTGATGATAAAAATAGACCCAAGCTGGATGGAGGGAAGGGAACCCCCCTTTACTGTCTGAGTCCCTGAGATAGCCGAAAGGGGGAATGTTTAAACCCCAGAGGCATCAAAGGGAGAGACTGAAAAGGAAGCCCAAGGAGGGTATATGGACTCACTGAAAGGATGTCCAGTGTTGGATGCGAGTGAGGGTGATTGGGAGGATGAGTCCTAGCCAGTCTCTCTCAGGGTGGTCGTGGGGTGAGTCGGAATTGGGGTCCCACCAGGATTAGTGGGGAATCCTGATCCGAGTCATGGCACCAAATGTAGGCCCCAAAGTGACCATGTGGAGAGGAATGATCTGGCCAAGAGATTCTTTACTGCCAGGTGGGAGAGGGAGAGAGCCAAAAGAGAGAGAGAGAGAGAGAAGGGCAGGTGCTTAAATACCCTTCAGTGAGACTTGGCATGATCTGATTGGTTAGGATCTTATGGTTCATGCTGATTGGATGTTGGGGCAGAAGGGGGATTCAAACTAGACTTGAGGCAGGACCATGACCCTGGGAAACAGAAACTTAAGGGTACAGTAAGAACTGAAACCTATTGGCGCCATTATTGCCAACAGGGAAAACTACATTAAAGTTCTTTCTATTAAATTTTGGTTATTTTGTGAATTACACATATTTCCATTGCTTTAAGCTCATGACTTTTTCTTTTTCTGATGATTAAATCAGTGTTGACAATCATATTGGATGCAATAATTCTGCTGTATTGACTTAAAATTTCTATTTGTTTATTTATTTATTTATTTTTGCAGTACTGGGGCTGGAACTTAGGGCCTTCACTTTGAGTCACTCTGCCAGCCCTTTTTTGATGGTTATTTTTGAGGTAGGGTCTTATGAACTATTTGCCTGGACTGGCTTTGAACCATTATCCTCCTGATCACTGCCTCCTGAGTAGCTAGGATTACAGAAGTAGACCACTGGCACCTGGCAAACTTTTCTTTTGATTTGGACATGAGTCCTTATATGTTCTGTCCTCTTTGTCAGTGATTGACCTCCAAGACATGTTGCTATTCTTTTCACATATTTTTTCTATTTAGGCATCAACCTGGCTTTTATCCTTCTGATGCTTTGCAAACTTATTCGTATTTTCAAGAGACAAGGAGAATACTACCCACAGGAGGCCCAATATCATTTCCACTTTTAAAAGACTGCCTTTGATTAAAAAAAAAAAAAGAAAAGGCAACTGAATAAGTAGTTTTCTTGCCTATTGAAATTGAGGGATTTTTTTTGAAGGCCTTCCCAGCTCACGATTCTCAGTTCTGTCTACTATAGATGTCTGCCAGTTCAGCAAGCCTGACTTTAAAACAGCCAGTTTTTTTTCTTTTACTATTACTCTCTTGATTCTCTTCACTGAAATTCTTCTTTTTATTCTACAGAATCAAACAGTGTGCATTCACAATCAATGCCTCAGTTAAAAACACTTATAGCAATATGCCTCATATAAGCAAGAGTTGAGAATAGTGGTTTGTTTTGTGACTTTTAGAGCTATTCTTAATTTGATTCCTTACTAATATTATAAGCTTGGGAAAATTACTCAATTTTTTGTGTCTCAATTGTCTCTATAACATGTGGCTGATCATAGTATTTATCACATAAGGTTAACTTGAAGATTACATGAAGTTTCTGGCAGGTATCAAGTGCTCAATGTACTTTGAACAATTTTCTGGCACATAATAAATGTTCAGTGAATATGACTCCCACAGGTTTTAGCCATACATATTATAATTTTCTTCTAAATAGCAGTCTATAACTAATAATTGCATTTTTAATTAATCAGCATTATAATAAAGTTTGTTTATGAATCTCTTAAAAACTATGTCAATACCTCATAAGTGATAGTCAATACCTCATAAGTGATAGTTATACATGAAGAACCCTGATCTAATAAATATTTATTAGCAAATCTATAATTATGTATTGTTACTTTGATTCTATATTCATTTCCTTTTTACTCCATTTCCTTCTTTTTTACTCCATTTCCTTCTTTTTCCTTATCCTTTTTCATAAACTGTGCTTTCTGTCCTCTCTTCTTCCATGTAGGAAAGATTTTGGTATATTCACTCTAATACCTCACTTGAACAATATACATCCATGCATGCATAATGAGGTTTCAGTCTATAGCTGACCATATATACAAGAGTAACAATATCATATCATATCATCTAATGGTGGCATAGCCATATTTGTTTATGCAAGTACTCTCTATTATGTTTGCACAATGAATCACCTCTAACAATGCATTTCTCAGAACGTATTCCTGCTATTAACTGATGCATAATTGTATATGTTTCTTCTTTGTATTATCTTAGGCCTTGCATTGTATTTCAATTTATCACATTTTCTTATAGCTTTCTGTAAAATTTGGGTCTACATATTTTGTCTTTGAGAAAAATGACCACTATTTTTCCTCTGGAATTGTTTCCTCTTTGTATCTTTCACTTTTTTGCTGTTGGTCTGGGTCTTTCATTTCCTTTTATTTTGTGTTCATTATAGAGTGACATGAAAATTATGAAAAACATTAATCTTCCTTCTTTCTACCAATAGTCATCTCATTTCAGTGCTTATTTCATTTCATTAAGAATTTCACTCTCATTATAGTCTGTCTTTTAAAGAAGTCATAGGAACAATAACCACTGTCTATCAGTCAAACCCAGTCTCCTGTGTACAGAGAAAAAAAGAACCATTTGCATCTGTTTTCCCAAGAGGAGATGAGGCTGTATATTGTTTTTGGCTTTCAAGCATATATTTACATCTTCTAAAAGATTTTACTATATAATTATGAATAGATTCCTTCACCTACCTTGTGACAGTCATATTTATTAAGTATGACTGACTTAAGGACAGATTGGGAATTGCTGAATTAATAGGCACATTTAAAATCGTTGGCAAGGTTTGGCAATAATTGCATCTGCTGAGCCACTTGGTATATCATTGGATGTAACCCTGTAAAGCCATATCTGGAGTTCTTTATTTTCAATGCTGTAACATACCTGATTATACAATTTACTTTAATAGCAATATGTTAACATACATATGACAATGCAAATAAATGTGCTAACTGCAAAAATAATGGAGTTTTCCTTTTGTTAATTGATTCTTCTGCTTGCTAGGTCTTTATCATCTTATCTTGATATAATTTGTTAAAATATTTATACTGTCAACAAATATGTAATACAATTAAAAACTTTGTGTTTTATAGTCTAAAATACTTCAAATGTTACAAGCTTACATTTATTTAGTGCATAACATGTCCAGTTATCATTCTGTTTTAGGTATTCTATCTCATTTAATCATTACAACAACAATAGGGTAGATAAATATTATACCCATATTAGATATCAGGAAAGTGAGCCTCAAGAGGTTTTATATGCTCTCAACACTCACAGGTAACAGGTAGATGGGCCAGAATTCAACCCCTTTCTAATGCTCTTTCCACTATGTTGTTATGATTTGTGAAAGTTATAGTCTTTCCTTCTCTACTTTTCATTTTTCTTTATCAGCCACTTTATTTAATAGATCTTTGCCTGTTAGCAACCGCCAGATAAGTAAAATCAATCTAACCTCACCACACCAAACCATACAAATAGACAGGCTGAAATCCCAACAAGAAAAATTGCCCTTTGAGTAACAAATAATTCCCACCATTTGCTACAAAAGATCATAGAGCTTCATTTCAACTTATTGGACAAAATTAATTCTATTGACAATAGAACACCTTTTCCCCCTAAATAATGTTCAAACACTTGTAAGGATTATGCTCACAAGAAAATATCTATACTTATAGCGATGACATTAGTATATGTGTATTATGTCTATTGAAGGGACAAATGTGATAAGGTAAATTATTTGGTTTTCTTCTGTGTGATCAGTCCTGTCCTTCACTTTTTGATCTAACTGATTAGCTATAAAAGCATGACTTATTCAGTTGAATTAGCAGTGTAGTAGAAAAAGTATTAATTTTTTTACTGGTAGGTTGTAAACCATAGATCTTGGGAATATAATGAAAACAACAGATTGTAAAAAGGTCTTATAAATGTGTATTTTAAGTGTATTTCTGATTGTGGTGATAAGAACTTTTAATTCTTGCCCCTTTTTCCTTTTTTTTTGATTTGAAAAATTTATCTGAAACCTTATCCTCATGAATTCCATCAAGTAAATAATGAGCATGCTACCCTATTCTGCAGAACTGAATTATGAGCCATATACATGCACTAAAATACATACATAAGATAGAAATTAAATGGAAGACCAATATTAAAAAAGCAAGATTTTGATTAATGTGTTTTATTTTTTAATAGTATTAAACCTCTTAACAATATACTGTTAATATCACTGAGAGCAAATATGACCTTTATGTTATTTTTACATCTGAAATGAATGTTGCAAAGTGTTCTTACAAGAAGTAGAAGTTCCAGCTCTGCTATTTTTTTTATTCACCTCTCATGCTTACATTTTTATCTTCAATCTGAGATTGTATATAGTCCACTTAGTATAATAGCCAAGCTCTGGAAACAATCCAGATGCCCTGCTACTGATGAAAGGATTATGAAATTATGGTACATATACACAATGGAGTATTACTCAGCCATAAGGAATAATGACAGGTGGTTTGAAGGTAAATGGATGCAATTGGAGGACATCATGTTAAGTGAAGTAAGCCAGGCTTAGAAACACAAAGGCCACATGATTTCTCTCATACGTGGAAGATAGATCCAAAGATAAACATATATACAAAAACAAACATGATTATATGCAAACTCAAATGTAGAACATGTTTGTAACAGTGGAACTACTCTACGGAACTCAAGGAAAGAGGGAAAGGAAAAGAGAATGATAGAGCATCAGTAATATTGCATACCATAAGATGTGAAGGTAGAGGATATCAGGATGTGTATTGAAAACTGTTGAAAAACAGTGTGGGGGGGGAAGGT